CATGTAGTGGCAGGCAGGTCCCCGAGTGGGGCAGGCAGTGGGTAGGGGGTCCAAGAGAGCGGCCAGTCCCAGGCAGGGACTCCACAGGCCTACAAAGACAGCTGGTCCTGGGCAGGAGGCCACACTGTGGCAGGCGAAAGACAGAGACATGAATAGACACGCCATGTAGAGTGGGGTTGGATATTTATTTAGTGGGTTATGGAAGGGAAGGGGAGACGAGGAGGAGGAAGAGGAGGAGATGGAGGGGGGGAGAGAGACAGAGAGACAGAAGGAGGGAAGGGGAGAAGTAGGGAGAATGGAGCGAGGCAGAAACTGCCTCTTCGGGGGGAGAGACAGAAATAGAAAGAGACTCGGACTACAAGCAGGAAGGAAGATCTGCCTGCCTCAGCAGACAAGGGAGGGAGTGGGTGTGGCTTGTCTCTTAAAGAGACAGAACAGATCATTACAGTATTGAGTCTAGATACTGTCTGGATAATACGCAAGTATGTGGTACAACCACAGTTTGGCTGCTCCATATTTAAATTCACGATAAATAAGGGGACCTCCAACATGGATGTAATTTCTAATAATCATGATAGAACCAACATATAATTTTCATTGACAGAGAGCTCTGATGTTGTCGCCCGCAGCCAAGAAACCACCTGGCATTTACACCTTTCCCTCCTTCCTCACAGAAAAGTTCCTGGCTTATCAGAGCCCTGATAAGAACTTGAGACTCTCAGGCCTCTGTGTCAGTTCATCACAGGACCAGTAGCTCTCTGAGCAATGCTATGTGGAGAGGTATCCTCAGATGCAAACCTCATCCTTGCTCCACTATAGATTATAGTAAACTTCAAAATTTAAGTCAAAAGATATGTTACTTTGGAGGAAAGCTTTTTACTTTTGTTTTCACGGCAAATGAGAGGCTGTGGATTCATTCTGGGTTAAGAAAAATCAGGTTTGATAAAGAAAGACCCCTGAAAAATCTCCAATAGGAGCAGATGGCCCAGATGATCCAACGTTTCAGAGGACCTCTGTTGGAGTTTCCTCTGAGTTCACATCCAGAATGGACTAAAGACTGCTGACTGAGATGATCAAACCTCACAGAATACTCCAGTTAGGACTTGACCATAATTCTAATTTTTATTTAGGTCCCCATAAGATTATCAGCACCCCCAATCAGCAAGAAGAAGCCTGGAAAAAATATGCCCACATTCCCAAAACATAAATTATGGATACTTATCTTTGTTTACAGTGTTGGTTACATGTTGTTATGAATATGGTCTGGGGGGAAAAAAAACCTAAACAAAGGAGATTCTTGCTTTGGAAAAAAAGGGAGGGGGATATCTGTGGGATAATGGTCTTGTACCCTGTAAAAATTTGTCAGTTATACTGATGTAATAAAATGCTAACTGGCAAGTAGCCAGGCAGGAAGTATAGGCAGGGCAACCAGAACAGAATTCTGGGAAGAGGAAAGGCTGAGTCTACAGTTGTCACCCAGATGCAGAAGATTCAAAATGAGAATGCCTTGCTGATAAAGGTACCAAGCCACATGGCTAACACAGAGAAGAATTATGGGCTAATATAAGATGTGAGAAATAGTTAATAAGAAAGCTTGAACTACTAGGTCAACCAGTTTATAATTAATGTAGGCCTCTGTGTGTTTCTTTGGGACTGAATGGCTGCAGGATCAGCAGGACAGAAACCTCTGTCAACAAACCTTCTTACCCTGTCTTGGCACCTTGGCAGTCTTTTTTCTTGTATCCTGTTTGTCAAGTCCGGACATCATACACTTTGTCAGTGGTTGAGGCATGAACAGTTCCTTGCCCAAAAGCCAATTGTGCCAAGAAGAAAACAAACTCCAAGTTGAGTGTCTTTAATGCTCAACACCCTTTCGGGAATAGATGGGTGCCACCAGAGCAATCATGTCTCATGTCAACAGAAACCTAAGTTATTTAAATGCCATGTTCTACAGCTCTTGAAGTGGTTGAAGGTTACCTATCTATGCAGAATACACTCTCTATGTATCTAAAGAATCTAATTAGTCTGATTAAAAGTATAACAAACATGAATGACTGTTGACCTATAATACTTAATACCTATATAACTTAAAGATTAAGACTTCATATCAGAATATTAAACAATCTTTAAACAGTTGTGCAGTAAAGGAGGACAATGACTTCAAAATGTAAGCAATGTATAAGTATCTTGATCAGAGGTAGAAATGTATAATGCAATATGATAAATATATCCTAAAATTGTATCAATATGCAAAATGTCTTAAACAGAGGTAGAAACATGCATGCATACAATCTGACAAAATAACTTTACATAGGTATACAAATATTATAAACAGAAATAGGAGCATATTCAATATAATAAATATAATTTGAACTTGTATCAAGATACAAAAATCTATACCTATATAAATTGTGCATAAATAATAGCTCACAAGTATTCATTCTATTACTCACTATTATTATTATTAGTGTGAGTAAACTCCCACTAATCTACCTATTATCCCATTCAATTTTCCCTCTTTTTCTTTCTTTTTTTTTTGAGAGCTCTGGGCCTATGTAATTTCTATCCCAACCCCAACCCTATGTGAGTAATAAACAACCCCTAAATGGTACCCCTAACTGTGGGAACAAACTTTGTTGGGAGAGGAGACATCATCTTCTACAATTGCTTCCAGCTGTCATGGGGGTGATGTTCTTTCTATGGGATCATGTAAAAGTAAAATAAAGGTTAAGTTTGAAGATTGCTGTTTGTATAATTGAAAATGGTCTCTGAGTAATCAACAGGGTTTTTGAGAAGGAGAATCAGTCTTCTCCACAGATCAGCTCACTGAGATGTTAGCCAGTCCCAAGAGGTCAGCCCTAAACACATATGAGTAACACTAAATAATCTCAACATAGTGTATTTATAAGCTTTACACATACATATATAGCATAATACATGCATGCATTATGTATAATTAAAGAAAAAGAAGCCATACTACTGAGTGTGGTGGCACAAGTCTTAAGTCTCAGCACTCAGGAGAATTCAGAGGCTGCTAGATCTTTGTGAAATTGAGGCCAGCCTAGTCTACTTAGTGAGTTCCAGAATAGAGGCAGTGTTACATAGAGAGATTTATATATATATATATATATATATATATATATATATATATATATATATTCTTCTACCATGTTCCCTGAGCTTCAGTATAGAGACTTGTTGTAGATTTATTAAGTGGGGCAATGAGAAGGAGTGGGTTGGACCTGGGAGGTAACTGGAGGAAGGAGCAGGAAAGGAAAATGATGAAAATATAGTACTCATGCATGAAATGCTAAAAAAGAACAACAACAATCAAGGAAGATGCTCACAGGCACACACACTTACACACATACCCACAATAAACATGCCCACACATACACACACTCATTATCATACTCTCTGCTCCCTCTTACACACACACACACACACACACACACACACACACACACACACAAAATCCCAGTCCATAGTTGGAAAGTCTAAGTTACTATAGATAAATGCTTGTTAAATAAATATTAGGCAACTTGCCTTTTATCAAATGGAAATTTTTCACACAGTTTGATTGGAATTCCAGATCTGTTCAACAGCAGAAGCAAAACAAGTAAGGCACACAGTTCAGTTTGGGTTTTTGAAAGCTGGGCAATGTTTGCTTGGCAAATCGCACAGTGAGATGCTGCCAGGGCTGCAGCACACTTTCAGAGTCTCTCCAAACACGAAGGTGGGAGATAACCATGCAACATGCAAACGTATGTCCAAGACCTTATCACTTATCTTGTATAGATTCTGACTGCTGTGTCTTTTACCGAGCATTCTGCAAATACATTTCAAAATAGAGCCATGGAAGCTTAGTGCCAAAGAAAAAAAAGCTTGGAAGTTATTTGGTCCATCCTCACATTATAGCCTTGGAAAAACAAGCTGGATAATGACTCGTCAAGATAATGAGATTAGCAGCAGGGGTAGGAACGGACCCTGGCTCTGCTACAGTGGCAGGAATAACGGTGAAAAAAAGCAATGATTGCAGGAAGGGCTGTCACCACCAGGAAAGGAGCCTGCAGTAGGACTTACACAAGCACTCTCACCCATCAAGACCGCCTTCGCCATCTTCATCTTGAATAAAGCAGCTTCTGAGTGTACAGTGGCAACATATGTCACATCTAGATTTGGACTGATTGCTCTTACAGACCCACAGTTACATCGTTTTTCCCACTACTGTATTATTTTCATCTTAATTTTGGCATCAGCTGTTACTGATTTACATTACTGGACCTATAGAAGCATCATTAAAATGATGTCAAATGAGAAAATAACAAGAGCCTGGCAAATATAACATGTATTTTATGATAAGCATCAGAAAGAACTAAAAATAACTCAGCTTTATTTTTTGTCTCAAGGAAAGCTTGTAAAAAAAATAATCTGCATTGCATGTTACCACTTTGAGCTGTGAAGGAATGGAAGCAGCCAGAAAGTCAGTGCTTATTCTCTTTGTGGGAGAGATCGGTGGGTTCTTCTGAAGGCATCCCATCCGTGTCCTCAGTTAAAGTCTTATTGTTGCTTCTTGTCGCATTTTACTGCTTTCTTCAGGTATATGGAGACAATGGAGACTAGGTGGTTTTGGATTTAGATGAGTCCTTCACCTGCGGTGGCAACTGTCACCAGAATTCCATTTGAGGAAAATAGCCAGTTGTCTTATGAAGCTTCACCAAAAACTTCTTCAGTGCTGTTTTCTCTTTGTCGATCTCCCTCAAGCGGATGCTTAAAGCTTTCTGTAGTTTCTGAATGTGAATCTTGCTTCTCTTTTCCTCTCCCACGTTGTTCACAAGGGCCTTCCGCAGGTACGAGGGCTCCCCTCCCGCTTTGAGGTTCGTCTTCTTCATTAAGCCGCCCATTCCACCCAGCTCAGCTGTGGCCACGGAGCTCGAGAAGGCTCAAGGCAGGGCAGGGCAGCTGCCTGTAAATGTCTCTGTAAGATGATTCTTCTATGGTTTGGAATAAAGAATCAGAGCGGCATGGAAACAGAGGCTCACGGAACCCTGGAGCCGAGTGACATCAGAGACAAACCCAGCCCCAAACTCAGGCTCGGTGCTCAGAAGAGGCTTGTAAGCTAAAATAGTAACCATTCTTGCTCTAAGAGCAAGAGCATTTTCAGATGCCAGGCTGACTGGCAAACACCTACACCACCTCGCTCACGCTTATGCCACAGGGTAAGTGCCAAAGGCGCTCAAAATCAGGACCAGATGTTTATGTTCATGGGGGAAAAATTAAAAGGCTGATTCAATAATTGGGGTTAGTGTCAAAAGTGATCCATTCTCATATGTGTATTTATACATATACATTTATATATAACACATATTATATATAATATCTATAGCCACACTATGTATTTATAATTTTAATATATTATTTATATTTATGTATTACATATTAGGATATTTTATGTATAATATATATTCTATATATTCCATAATAAAAATATTTTTATTATAGATTTCTGTTATAGAAAGAGCTAAAATGGAGACAGTAGCAAGGGTGTATGTACTGATACACTGGTCTGGGATAGGAGAGATCAATACGAATGTGGGATTTTTCTGAATCAGTGAGAATTCATGGCTGTATCTGTCAGTCATCACAGAACCATAGTTGTTCTGTCAGCAGCAGCAGGGATGGATGCACTGCTCTAAGACTGTCACCCATGGCGGCGTCACCCATGGCAGCCAAACGGGCTCTTTGAATCTCCTAGAGACTTCAATTTTGGTGGAGCCAGATTCTTCACTATGGAGCAGAATCTCAGTAGCAGTCAGTGTGACCAGCTGCAGTTTATTAAAAGACATTGAAAACACAGACTTCACACGAGTGCTAAGGAGAGGCACTTGGAAAGAAGGTAAGACACACTAGAGACCATGGATGTGGGCTTCTCAAAGAAGCACACTGAAGTGTCTCGACAGTAAACACATATGCCGTTTGGTGGGCCTCGACCGACATCTGAAAGGATTGCTAAGAAGACTTCACACACTCTAAAAAGCGCTTAAAATAACGAGAGGCTATTTTAATACACTGGCTGCCTAGCAGCGGACAGTCGTGATGCTGGCTCTGTGAGGAAGCCTGATTTGAGTCAGGGTGCAGAGGTCAGTTTTGCATACAGCAGCAGAGGAATGGAGTTTCTGAAGAGGACAGGGAACAGGCACCAGAGGACTGGATAAACCAGATAAGCTGTGCAAAAGAAAAGATGGGCAAGTCACTAGGGAGGGGTGCTCTGGATGGAGATAAAACTGGAAGCCACTAGGGTGCGGGTGGGGATGAGGACGGGCAGGATGTGTTCCTTTACTGTAAAGGAGGTTTTTTGGTTGAGATTCCCAGAGGATTGCAGTCTGTAAATGGGAAGATAGAAAGGACTTAACTAAATGTCAGTTGTTCTCAGATTCCTGATTCTCGGCTGACAAGAGTCTTCAACCTGGTCCTGAGTGACAGATTCCTTCCCCTCCTATGTCCCCATAATTTGCCACTCCAGGGGTGTGTGTGTGTGCGTGTGTGTGTGCGTGCACGTACATGTGTGTGTCTGTATGCATGTGTACATGCTTATGAAGACACACATGTGTGGAATCCAGAGGAGCACTTTTCTATTAGACTAAAGTCTGCTGCGTGAGATGCACCTTGACATTTTAATGAGGCCAAGAACCTGAGACCAGATAGGTCACAGAGGTGCGGTAAAACCTACTAATATTATTCTACTAAATGAACAGATCAACAAAACGGCTCCTAATTACATATTACTATTCCCATGGATCAGAGCATCGCTTAACCCTCTCCAGAGAAGCTTCTTTTTGCAGAGATGGCCATTAATGCAGAGACCTAAAACTAGACAATGTGCAGAGAGTGCAAGATCCTGGAGCTCAGTCCTGAATGGGATGTCTGTATCACTCCTTCCCCTCAGGCCTCAGGATCTATCCCCTCCATCTCAGCGGTGGAAAGACTGTAAGAGCCGGGGATAATGGAGGACTTCAAGGAAACTGTTTCCCAGAGACTCTGACAGAATGTGAAGACCTACACAGGCTTAAGCCAGCACAGGGGTGGGAAAATAGTGGCACAAAGTTCCACCTCTAACCAAAAAGCTTTTCTCAATTGACAGCTGCTGGAAAATCGGGTTTGTTTGCTTTTCTTCCAATGGAGTTACACTGGGTATATTAACCACACTCCAGGACAGGCCCCATCATCAGGAGTAGTTAACCAACACAAAATGAACTCCACATTTTTGTGGGTTTTGTTTTTGTTTCTTAAGAGAAAGAACATGAAGTTGGATAGGTAGGAAGGTGGAGGAAGATCTAGGAGGAGTTGAAGGAGAAGAAAGAATATAACCAAAATATATTGTATGAAACTCTCAAAGAATAAATTAAAACAACAATAAAAAATACATACGGCCAAAAGCTTATTAAAACAACACCTTAGCAATCAAGGAAATGTAGATTAAATGTGAGATTCCACTTCATTTCAGACCATCTATCATCAAGAAACCAGGATGCATGATTCCAGCAGCTGTGTTCCCTGCACAGCCTTGAACAGTAAGGGCCCATTAACATCCCATCAGCTTAGGAGGCTCCACCCCTTCCCAGGTACTGGCACTTAGGGATTGCTGGGGGTTAGGGATTGCTGGGGGAGTGGAAGTCATTTGCTTCAATGATGTAGCCACTGGTAACTCGCCCATGTTCCAGTAAATAAACCAATCCATGTTCATAACATGCAACCCTAATTAAGCTTAGTGAGCCACAAAAAAAGCAAAACAACAATAAAAAGTCACAAAAAGTAGGAGAGGACCTGCCTGGGAAAAGGGATTCAGGGAGAGGGGGAGGAGGAGGAGAGAGAAGAATGAGGCTGAAAGTGGCCAAAACGCATTATCTACACCCAGGAAAATATCAAATTGGTAAATAAAAAAGGAAACAAGTAGTAATGAGTGATGGAGAGGATGTGCATAATGATGATATCTTATCCCATGCTAGGAGCTGCCTTGTACACTCTCATGTACATACATACATACATACATACACACACACACACACACAGACACACACAAAGCTCTATGCGTATTCAATACAGATGATAAAAAAATAACATACATCTTTCAGCCTGAGGATTCTTTAGAGGTGAATGCATGCCATATGAGACTATCGCTTCCTTGAATCTCTTTAAATCTAGCACTAAGACTAAGCCAGTGACCTGGGCCTGGGACGGTGAACTCCAAGAGAGCAGGAGAGGATCCAGACCAGGGACACTTGCAGAGGCCGGACTGAGCCAGCAACCTAGGCCAGCGCAGGCCTAACACAGCGAACTCCATGTGAGTGGGAGCAGATCCAGACCCCATGTGAGTGGGTGCAGGGACATTTATGGAAACAGGATTGAGCCAGCAAACTAGGCCAGAGCAGGCAGGCCTGAGGCAGTGAACTACACAGGAGCAGGACTGAGCCAACAACCTAGGCTGGAGCAGGCCTGAAGCAGTGAACTCCACAGGAGCAGGTATAGGGGAGCAACTGCTGAGGGACTGGGCCAGAGTCAGAGAGCTCTGTGGGTCCAGGCATGAGTCTGGGACCTACGAGGGTGTAGGCAGGAACCAAAGACCTCGGTGAGTCTGGGTGTGAGACTGGGACCTTCAAGGGAATAGACCTGAGCCAGGACCTCTGCAGGTCTGGGTGTCAGTCTGGGACCCCTGAGGGAGTAGGCAGGAACCAGAGACCTCTGCAGGTTCAGACATGAGTCTGGACCTCCAAGGGAGTAGATTGGAGCCAGAGTCCTTTGAAGGACCTATGGCTTTTATATGAAGGTGCACATACATGCACAGACAAATGCACACATACACAAATCACTTTAAATCCATTTAAAATGCTGTGATATGACCAATAACTTACAATTTACATTGAATATCATCCTCCAGCTACATCTATATTATAAAAGACAAAAGTTGACCAGAGGTGTCCTGTGTCCTGGCTTTTATGCTTTTACAGCAGTGCAAACTACATCATGAAGTTTGGAAAGAGGACAGAGAGGAGGCAGAGCCAAGACAGCTGAAAAGTGGCAGGTATGGAAAGACACTTCTGCTAAAATGCATTTTAACAAAGCAGGACCTTATATTTCGTCAAGATACTTCCTTTCAGTTTCTACTGAGCTGTCTGACTTTGGGCTTCTTAAAAAGACCGAGTCATAACAAAATCAGGACTTTAAGTCTGTTGGTTTTATCTAAATGTGAATATAACAATTAAATCTTGTCACTACTTGCTCACTGACCTTCCTTAAGCATGAACAGTCACGCTTATGGCAAAACCAGGAGGATATAGGCAGAAGAGAACAGCCAATGTTTCAGCCCTGGTCCTTCTAGAGAACCAGTATAGGATGGGACACCTCCAATAGGCTTCTAACACTCTAGCCACTCATCTTTCTGTTCAGAACATGCGAAACTTCACAGGCTGGACTCTAACCAGAGGACACTCTACAAAGAGGAGGACCACTGCAGAGTGTCCTTAATGCTTCCAGGTGAAGCCGTATGGTCAGCAATAGCTTGATCCATCCCAGCACACAATGTGATTGCTAGAGCCCAGAGCCTTCTCCAAAGCCCCTAAAACAATGTTTAAGTCTCCTCAGCCAACTCTTACAAGACGAAGTTAATTTCTGTGTGTGCAGGTATATATGCATGAGTGTGTGTGTGTGTGTGTGTGTGTGTGTGTGTGTGTGTGTGTGTGTTTGTAGACCAGAAATCAATCTGGAATGCCATTCTTTAGGAACTATCTACCTGGCTTTTCAGACAGGATCTCTTACTGGGGCATGCTGATTAAGCTGGATTGCCTGGCCATCGAGTCCAGAGATCCTCCTGCCTCTACCTCTCCAGAGCTGGGATTATAGGTATGCCTCACACACCTGGCTTCTAAATGGGTGCCAGGAATGAAGCTCAGATCCCCATTCTTGTGCAGCAAGCACTTAACCGACTGAGCTATCTCCCCGATCTGCTTGCTCTCTTCAGATTTTAAATTTCATCACCTTACTGCCAGATTACAATTTACAACTTACAACTTACATCACCTTACTGCCAGATTACAACTTACAACTCAGAGGCCTCTCTGCAGCACACCTGTGCAAACAGTTGGCCTTACCTATAGTACAGCAAATCACAAGGTTCCCTACTTTCCCAGCCTGGAGGCACCTAGCTCATAGACAGAAGCAGTTCTGTGGTGCAGGACACAGACACTCAGGGTATGCAGTACTGAGCCTGAGAGGTCACAGAATATGAGCTCACTAATTTCACATTAACTGAAAAAGCAAAACTAATTTGTCCTAACTAGACAAAGCAACTTCCCTTAGCTGTTATAAAAAGAGCCTTCTCCCTCTCATGGGCATGGTTTGCCCATTTTACTGCTGTCCATGGTATAGATTCATCATTAAAATTTGTATGTCAATTCTAGTCCAGTAAATACTTCCACCTGTGTCTTCGGCTTGTCATTCCTGGCAAGACATACAAGACACTCCAGCCTCCTCAGACATGGGCATAAAATCCACACACGCTATGAATTCACACACACACTCATCCGACCGGAGTTCAACATATACATCACATAGCCTTACTTCCTCCAGATGCACACATGCAACTCCCCCACAACACTGAACATTCTTATGAACTACCATGACAGAACCATCACATGCATAAGCCATGTCCCACCACAATCACATAGAATAGCTTTTAAACTCCCTCATACAGTTCCTCACATCTAATTCATACATATCAATCCCAACATTTTACACAAAGACAAGCTACCCTGAACACACACAACTGCCACAACCCCAAATGCAAACACATGTCTTTCTCTTACCTCCAGAATGCTCGTGAAGAAATGGAACCAAGGTGAACGGGAGCAGCGGGAGCGGATCGGCCACTTAGATTTTACCCAAAGGAAGTGCATGCTTTAACAGTTTTTGAGAATACTACAAGGAGACAGTTTCATCCAGCAGGCGTTTTAGCACTTGGTGTCAGCCACAGACAGCATCTAGGTATGAAGGACAGAGGACAAGAGCAGTGACAAAACAGGAAACGAACGATCTGAGCCAAGACAGCCCTAATGAGACACATCAACGCCAGGTAACACAGCATCAGGTGAGGGTGTTTGGGGAACTAGTCTTTTTATGTGTGTAGGGGAGGGTTGTGGGGATGTGTGAGGGGCGCCAGCATCATGTGTCTTCCTGCATCACTCTTATTTTTGAGGCAGGGCCTCACTGACCCCAGAGCTCACTGAGCTGGCTAGTCTGCCTAGACATCAATGAAAGCCATGAGCTCCAGAGATCTTCCTGTCTCCCTAAGGTCCTCAGTGCTGCAATTATGGGTGCACATCACCATGGACATTCTCTATGAGCACTGAGCATCCATAATCAGGTCCCTGTGTGTCCTAGTCACTATTCTACTACTGGGAAGAGACACCATGACCATGGCAACTCTTATAAAATAAAACATTTACTTGGGGCTTACTTATAGTTTCAGAGGTTTAGTCCATTATCATCATGGCAGGGAGGATGGCAGGAACATGGTAGCATGCAGGTAGATGCTGGAGGAGTAGCTGAGAGCTACGTCCCAACTGATGGGCAGAGACAGACAGACTCTGGACTTGGGATGGACTTTTGAAACCTTAAAACCCACTCCCAGTGGCACCCCTCCTCCAACAAGGCCACACCTCCTAATCCTTTCAAATAGTGCCATTCCCTGATGACTATGAATTCAAACAGTGAACCTCTGGGACCATTCTTTTACAAGCCACCAAGCTGTGTTTGCAAACATTCCACTGACTGAGCCATCCTCTCATAGAATAACTTCTTCCCAGATAAGTTATGCTCCCTACTTCACCTTTAAAATCATTCATGCGGAACTGTTCCAGAGACATAACTATAAGGAGGTCAATACAAGATCACATTCTTTGATTTCATCATCCAATGATATTTAATCAGTTATACAGACAAAAGGGGTTAAAAGAAAGAAAAAGAAAAGGAAATTTCCTTTATTTTAACCACGGGGCCATGGCCACTTGGAGCACAGCTCCTCGGTGACCTAAGATATATACACAAATAACTGAAGTCTAACTTATGTGACTAGTGGCACTTTACAGGGACAGACAACCTGAAGATAAACAACTCACACTGCAGAACTACTTGCTTTAATATGGAAATGAGATGGCACTTTATCTATACAACTGTGGACGCAAACAGATGGCCCATAAGGTCACACCAGTGACCTCCTTCTGAGAACAAGACAAGACCCCCACTACTTTCTCGGCTGCATGGTCCCCTCTCTGATACCTGCAGCTTTTGTGCACTGTATGTCAACAAATCCTATCTGCCTGGCCATTCCCTTGATGATTTTGTTTATGACCCACATCACTGGCTTTCCATACACATTTTACATCTAACAGGAATCGATAGATGAAGAGCATGTATACTAACTATGTCCATACAGGACACACACACGACTTTCAAGGTGTTTTTCATCAACTAAAAAATATAGCCTAGACACAAGAAGGGCTACAAGAAGAAATGTGGGAGAGACTGCAGAGAGAAGAGTACACTGCTTTGAGAAAAACTGTTTCCACTGCTTTAGATTTTCCCCAACGAGGGTTCTGAAGTCTTGGCATGAAGTGAGAGCTCATTTTCAGGTATATTAGTTATCTCCTGCAGCAGTGCTGCGGACAAATGTGCAACAGGCATTTGCTTCCATCGGTGGCTGAGGGTCAGTGACTGCAGGAACCACCTCTGGAAAGTGCTTCTGCCCAGCTCTGAGCTTACTCACAAGATGGGGACACTGCTGTTCTCTGCTACATCCTTCAGCGGGCAGCCTCGTGTGTCGTCCTGTCAAAGACAGAGGAAAAGGAGGAAGACCTTAGGCAAAGTAGGTCACAGTGGAGGGGGCCTACAGTGAATCACATGGGATAGACAGGGATGTGGCAAGTGAGGAACTGAAGTCACTTCTGCCACCCCTTCAATGAGGCGTAGACCCTGGAGGGCAGGAGACCACATTTGAACTGTGGGAAAGTCAGAAACTCGTTCTCCTGGAAATATTCTTCATCTTTGCTCCCCATACGGAGATGCCATGATGGGTGCCCTGCAGGATTTGAAAGAGAACTGGTCTGCTCCCATCCCTGAGCTCTCAAGCCTGCAGAGAATACGGGTCTCAAGCCTCTGTTGCTATAGACACTGTGGCTGGGAATTGAGCAAAATCAGAGAGGCATCAGATGAGGTCAGCTGACTGCAGGCAGATGGGAAGGAGGGCTAGATCAGGAAAATGAACAGGCATATTCTGAATGGATGAGCAGTTAAAAGCTACAGAATTTATGACTACTACATTTGCCAACCAATAAAACACTTCAGGTATGTGATCCGGGGATGAAGTTACTGTGGGACACTGAGGGATGCCCCAAGGACAGGGGGACCCCACATAGGACATTCATTATGCACTGCCTACATGGGCAACTGTCTTCTTGCTGAGAAGATGCTCCCCTGTCCACTCCATATTTCTGAGCTGAGCCAGGGATTGTCTGGTTTCCCTTTACCTATTCCTATATCCACAGCTGAGTGGGTTCTAGGATGTTCTCACAGAGAGGCCCTGAGCATCCTTGCATTCCTCAATTCTAGTCCTGGGGTACCATGGAGGTACCTTAAAAAGACAGTTGAATGAAATCTTGGCTTGTGAGAAAGATGTGAACCACAAAATCCTAAACTGAGGTTTCTCCATGTCCTCTGTCACCTGACAGTAGGACCACTTCCTGCCTTTTAAACTAAGATCAAGGGAATTGACAAAAGGAGATTTTGGAGGGAACTGTCAGTCAGCCTTCTGTCTCTGGCCTAAGATAGACAACCTAAGGGCAGAAAACACTGCTTTTGGCTCACAGTTTTGAAGGCTGCAGTCCATGGCCACGTGGCCCTGTGGCATCTGTGGCATTAGTGTGACAGAACATCCCGAGCAAGAGCGTATAGCAGAGCAAATGTCCTCACCTCGTGATAGCCAGGAAAGAGAAAGGGATGGGTCCCAATATGCCCTTCAAGGCCATGCCTCTAATGGCCTAGTTTCCTTCCACTAAGCTCCACCCTAAAAAGCTTCCACCAGCCCCTACCCAGGGATCAAGTCTGCTAACCAGCATTAACCCTAGAGATATTTAATATCCAATACACAAGACCTCACCAAAGGCCCCAAAGGCTCACTTTCATTCCAAAATACAAAATATGTTCAACCTGTCTCTAGGATCTCTCAAATTCTCAACATTTCCTGCATTGCTTACATCCAAGTCCAAAGTCTCCTTTGAGACTCAAGGTGAACTCCTAAGTTACCAACCAACCAAGACTATGAGAATGTTCTCACAAAGGGGACAAATAAATGTCCTCTTGATGATATTAGCTAGTCTTCGTTTTGTGACAAACAAATTTTACTTAAATGAAATATATTTTCTTCCCATCATGCCCTCTCTCAAATCACCAGTGCTTTTAGGGCTGCAGGATCTAAGCTTCTGCAGTTGCACCATCTGTGAGCCTCTTAAAAAGGAAAGTAAGTTATGCATGCCAAGAGACACAAGACATTTCGTAAAAATTCCAATTTCAGAGAGAAGAACAAGAATAAAAGCAAGAAGTAATTGGGTCAGAGCAAGATAAAAAAATGTAGTGGGGCAAACATCAGCATCTGTGCCTTCATGTCAAGCATCTGGGACATCATATAGATCCCCGTGGTCATGTCTACCACATGTCTGTGCTTCTGGCTGCCTCTGCTTACTGCATCTCTCCGCGGGCATTCTCCTGGTGCCCCCTATCTTCCTGGGGATTTGACTGCAGCTTCACCTTCTCATGGGAATTGCTCACCACTGGCCTTAGAGAATTTCTTCTATGATTCATACAGAACCAGCACCATGAGCTCTGATACCAGCGTGAGCAGGAGCCAGACAAATGTGATGTTCCGTAACTACAGCAGCCTCCGAGTGCCTCAGGAGCGGAGCGAGGGGAAACAGGTTCCTGGGAACAACACCTCCCTGGGCAGCTCTGGGAAAGCAGAGTTCACTGTGGTGGGCGGGGTGGAGGCTCTCTTCTCAAAGCCAAGCTTCTGAGCCTCTAATGGGAAGGCTGATCTCCTACAGTCCTCGAGGTATTTTCTACCCAGGGTGAAGTAAAGCATGCTTTTCCTAGCACCAGCCTCTTTAGCAAGCACACCACCCTTGGTCGCATCTTTAAATACATCACTTTCTGGTTCCCATACTACCTTACCAGCATACTTAGGATGACCTCATTTCTCTCCGCTATGCCCTACCTCCAGGAGGGTTTGACCAGTTTCTAATAGTTTCTCTGGGTATGGAGAAAACCTTAAACATGGGCTGCAGTGATGATTTCATGGGTATAGCTCTTGCTATGCAAGCCTGATGAACTTAGTCTGGGCCCAAGAAAACCACATAACCCTGTATGCAGTAGGGTACATGCCTGTCATCCTAGGTGGGAGGCAGAGATGGGGATATGTGAAGAAGCTTGTGGTCCAGTGAGCAGAAAGAGTCTGTAACTCAATGTGGAAAGTGAAGACCAGCTCCTGAAGTCATATTCTGACCGTTATTCCTGTTCACACTCAACCTCTCTCTCTCTCTCTCTCTCTCTCTCTCTCTCTCTCTCACACACACACACACACACACACACACACACACACACACACACATACACACACACTCTCTCTCTCACACACATGCATGCACACACAAATGCACCTGTTTACAGAAACACATACATAAATTATAAATTGACTAATTTAAAAAAACAAAGCCCACAACACAAGAGTATTTGAGAGAAACTTAAGAGTCAGAGACATGAGTCAGAGCTCATGGTCTGACCCTTTTACTTCCAGAATTCAGTCCTGAACAAGCACAAAGAGGATCTCTGAGCCATCAATACACTCAGACACTGTAAGTACACACAACTCCCAATCCATGGACTGAAAGCCAAGCACTCAGAGAAATAGAGAATGCAATATATTAATCTCCCATGCATGAAAATTATGCCATGCGTCAAAAGCAGACATAAAGACACACACATGCATGCACACATACTATCTGTGTATTGACTAATTACTGTACAGTAACATATACATACAATTCACACACATAGACAAAAACATATGTATACAACTATAACATACTATCCAATATTCTGTATGTATAAAACAAACTTCTGAGTTCATCCTACAAGCATACCCATGGGCACTAGAAACACACCATCATTAACCATATTTAATGCATGTTTATACACTGTGGTTTGAATGAGAATGTTCCATACAGGCTCAGGTGTTTGAATAGTTGGCCCCAGTTGGTGGTGCTGTTTCCGGAAGGACTGGGAAGTACAACCTTGTTGCAGGAAGTATGTCACTGGAGAGTCACTCTTAAAGTATGTCACCTCAAGAGTTTAGATACTCTATGCCATTTCCAGCGGTCTCTGTGAATTGTGCCTGTGATTCAAGATGTGACTGCACAGCTTCCTGCCCCTGCTGCCATACCTACCATGTTTCCCCTCCATGATGGACTCTTACTCCTCTGAAACTGTAAGTCCAAATAAACTCTTTCTTGTATAAGTTGCCTTGGTTATGATGTTTTATAATAGCAATTCAAAAGTAATTAATACATATAACAAATGATCTATTTTTCAATACTAACAGACAGATACAAACAACTAGTGTAAATGCCCAAGGCATAGAGAAGTATTACCTAGATAACATTTAAATTACAAATACAAACCACCTGTTAATCTAGAGTTATCTCTAGCTGCTAGAAATCACTTTCTAATCATTAATACTAAAGCATAACCATATGTTTTGTTGCCACACACCTGTCTGCACAAATGTACAATCTCATCTATCCATCAGAAACACACATCCTTGCTTATTTGCTGTATGTATACTAATTATTCCCTGTTTACCGTATTTAGAGCATAAGAAAACATTCATCCAAACATCCATGGCACTCTAATAAACATTCTGTCACCTAAATATTCTCCACTCAAAAATCTGGTCATATAGAGAAGACATAAACATTCACAATCCATACTAGAAAATACAAACTCCATACCCGTGTATTTCCCCACCAATATCAAACATTTATACAACACTACAAATGTTCAAATATATCTGCTCCCAAATGTACAGTCTCACCACTTACATAAATGAGATGAGTGGAAACTCAAATATCCACAAAGAAATAACTTCTCCACCTGCCAAATGTAGGTTCATATGAACCTGACACTACAGGTATACATATCCAATCTTCAACCCCCCCCACAAACCTTGCCACACACCTGCCTTCACATGCTAAAAGCACAGTAGACAAATCCTGTAGCCATCCATGGCATCCCAAATACACAAATAATCCTACATTTTCCCAACAATATTCTCCCTTTTGTATCGTCACATAAATATGCACAGTTTCTTTAACATTGTCCACAGGCACTTACTTCTTGCCCAAGTTTCTCCCAAACTCCATGACAAACAAAAATATCAAAGGAAAAAGAGATAAAATATTCCTCAAATCAAATCGCAAATACCTAACCCCAAGTCCAAGGTTACACACATGGTATCTCACATTGTCTAAATGCAGTAAGCTCCACAAACTATCAAAATCCCTTAATTCCAAATCTCTAAACAAGCACCATCACCCACATGAGAATACAATTAGATTCTCACCATTCACAACCCAAAACTATGAATCAATACAGTATTCCCAATTTATGTCCTAAAAATTATACAGCAAATCTTACATACTCTGTCTCTCCAGAAGGTCAACAAGCACACCACCACATTATACATGGGAATAGTCACCTCACAATTCCCATTTCTGAAATTAAAACACATCTTTTCACCTTCTCAGTCTCAGTATCTTACACACACACACACACACACACACACACACACACACGGCTACATAATAGTCACATACAATTTAATAATAAAATAGTCTTTGTTATAAATTCCATTTACTCATCTGATTCTCACATAACGCTTTTCTTGATTATTGCCACTCTTAAGGTCCAAAAGGAGATGCGCGGCTGAATTTAAGGGGCCAGTTATCCAACTGTGAAAAGCCTCTAACATCAGTGGCAATTAGTGAAGCTATAACATGAAAGTTGTGTTTCTGGCTGGTATTTATGTTTGCACGTCAGAAGTTCGCCCATTTTTCAACAACATTAAAAATTTGTTTGCTCAACTGAGTAATGCTTTCCGACACATTGGAAGCTTCCTGAGAGTGTAGGGGACACAGATGAGGGACACTTCCGAAGTTCACACCTCATTTATTAACTCTGCCCAGCCAGCTCAACACACACATCAAAAGCCAGACAGCCTACAGAACAGTGGAGAGAAGCCCTGGTCTGGGCACTTGCCAATGACAGTGGTGTAAAAACTCCCAGTCTCCGGGCCGACCTCGGGAGGGCACTCAGTCATTCAGGGCCACACTGCCTGCAAAACACAAGGAACAGGCAGCAACAGTGGCGACGGCATGCTCAGGAAGTTAGGTTGGAGTTGCCGTTACCTCTTTCTCTGTAACGGACACTGGACGCCGCCATGTTCACGGAACGTTAAGAGGCAGGCTCGCTCCGGCATCCTCCATGCTCGCGCCGGCGTGCTCGAGCCCCCGTCGAGGCTTCTGTCTGCGCGGGCGCACAACGGGCGGATGCAGGGCGTCCAGGAGGCAAGGAGCTCGCGCTAGAACGCCAACAGCATGCACAAACAGGAGCGCTCGGATGAAGCATAGAGCTTTGCGGGAGAGCAAAGAATGCGTTTGGAGCCCCGCCCTCCCCGCGCCCCGCATTCTCACAGAACCTGAGCGGCTATCCTGTCTTAAAACCAGAAATTGCAGAACCTTCCACCCATGCGCTTAGCATCCTCACCGAAAACTGTTGAAGACATCTGGCTCCTTCTGGACCCAGCGCTTTGGATGGCATTTGTCTCCTTTGCACCTCTCAAAGAACAGTATGCCCTCTCTCATACTTTCTGAAAGCTGCATTAAGGAACACTTCCAGCCAACATTTAAAGAAAAAGAAAAAGAAAAAGAAAATCAGACTCCGGAGACACTCTATGACAGGATTTACCTAGGACTCTGCCTGTAGAGGCCTTCCTATGATATCCATCGTATTAAAATCTCTTACTTCACGAGGAGAGCTGGAATAAATGTCGGTTCACAAACATTTCCTGTGAAATCATTGTCATTCTACCTTAAATTGAGACTTGATAGTCCGGGTCCCTCTAAACCTCTCTTCCTTTCCCAAATAGCTGTCACAACGGGAACACTACTGACTCTACCGCGGAAGTGGAGCTTGCGCCCAGCAACTTTTGCAACAGCTCTCTGGATTCTGAAATCCTCGTCCCCTCTAGACCATTTCCTAGCAAGCCTTCTTGTCACAAAATGAGACTGCTGTCTCCCGGCATTACAGCACTGATGAAAATGAGATGCAAAATACCAAATCAGGAACTAGACAAGCTTTCTTTAAAAAGGTGCTACAATCATACCCACACACAGAGAAAGGCACCTGCCCCTTCAGATATGATGCTGTATGATCATCAGAAAATACCGCAAGCCAAATGCATATTTTATTTACCAAACCTCCAAGCATTGTACCTAGCAAGAGTCACCTTTTTCATACTCAGACACTATCCTTGTATGGAGAAAAATGCAAAGTTCTTTTTATGATAGAATAGCAAATATTTCATGTCACTAAAAATTTGCACTTGGTGTCTTTGCAACTGATGTCTTAACCTCCCAACACGCAAGAGGCACAACTCACCACAGTGTAGAGCATTTGGGTCTTTTACCCAACATGCACCGTGATGCCATCTCCAACCTGTACAATGGTTAGACTACAAATGCAAACATTATTTGTTGTGAATGCCTTTTTCTTTAGCATCCTAACATTAACAAAATCTAAGGTGAATTCTATTGAAGTCAGAGGTAGACTTTTTCTGCAGCCAGGAAATGTGGTTCCAAGGACACCGGCATATAAAAAGCCAAGATGGAAGCCTGTGGCTAGTGAATCCGGGGTGATACTAGAGCTAGGAAAGAGGCAGGCACAGAAATCCGTATTGGACAATGTCAAAATGTACATAGGTTTCTATATCTGGAAAATCAGAGCCCTAAGAATGCTAAGCCTCTCCATCTTGGAGTAGAAGAATGTCTTCTCTCTTCCTGTACCTCACATTTAACCCTGTTCTCTTTGAGTGACTCATGAGGGCCAATTGTCACAGAAGCCTATCCATTATTTTTTGAGTTAGAGAACGGATTTTTAATTGTCAAATGTCTGCTTGCAATAAAAGGACTCCATACCACTGATCCAAAGAGAAGTGACTTCGGGGTTGAGTCCTGTGGACTACATATACTGAGTGAAGCCTTGATGGGCTGGGGCTTCTAGCAGAAGGGGATGGTGACAGAGATTCCCATGCCACAGGGTGCAGACATCCCAGCACTGCACTGGCTGGACACACAAGGACTGCTTTGTGAAGAATGGTATGGTCATGGCAAGAAGATCCATGGATCTCCTGAGGTCGTATTTTCAAATATGTCCTGCTCTGTTGCTTAGACCCTCTACTTTCGTTGAGTGAGTATAAACATGGTAAAAAAATGTTCAGGTCCCTACCCTCCGTAGGAGGGGTGCATGACTCAGGACGAAGGGAATAAAACAAGGTCTACTGAAGAAGAGAAGAAGGAAGAGGGCATTGGTGACCCCAGTGTGCTATGAGTATAAGACACCATTTGAAACCTACGTAGAGGCAAACACCAGGTATGTGCAGTCACCTCCAACAAGGATGCCTCATTTGAACTGACCCCAAGGTTCTTAGGCACTTGCCACAACCCCTCCCGGAATGTCGCCCTGTTTACTCTCTGCCCCTCCCCCACCACGGAATGTTCAATGCCACATTCTGGAGCTGTTTACTTTCAAACTTTGCTCAGCTCTGGCTGGCTCTCTTGAGCATCTGCCACATCTTGGTGACTTGGTGTGATTTATCTGAATTTTCTCACCATGGATCCTAGCAGGCAGGCGTGGGTACTGTCCACACCTGTAGGAATAGCTTCAGAAGGTAAGCCTGAAGGATGAGGGTATGGGACCTGACTCCCTGCCATGGGCAATTTAAATTTGAGACCAGCAGTGACTGGCAAGACCAAGGGAGGGAGGGGACAGGAGACAGATCTGGACCTCTGCAAGGACATCACCTCAGAAGCTGACAAAGCTTATGGCAGATTGAACAGAGCCCTTGGTGGAACTAAATTGCCAGGAGACACACTGCAGCAGGAGACACAGTGAGAGACCCTAGATCGGGTCTTCCTGTGTGGCAGGCAGGTCTCCTAAGCACAAGTCATAGGTGTGGTGGGATGGTTCATTGTGGTGGTCCAAGGAAGGTTCATGGACAAGGCCTGAGCTCTGGGTCACTTCTCCGAGCTTCTGGCTGGAACCTGCGCTGTGAAATTATGGATCCCACCCTAGACCTAAGGACAGCGCAGACTAGTCAGGAACCAGCTCAGTGGGGTCCTCTCTATGCGGATGGAGGTTATTTCATCCTCTGGTAGCCCAGAGTCCCTCACACCTTCCCACTGAGAGAAGGCTTCTTCTCCTCCGTCAGGTAGTTGATGTCTTTGATTCCTCCAAATCAGTTAGGAAGTGTCAACAAAGAAATGAGTGATTACTCTCAATATTTAGATATATTTTTTAAAAAATATCAGTTTAGAGGTGCAGTTCCGTTAGCCCATCATGTAACTGTAACCGGAAGCCTCTCTTCCCTGTCACTGCTTTCACATGGAGAAGGGATGTGGAGGGCTGTTGGCTTTGGTGGGTTCTAAGGTGACTGGATCCTTCCCTGGAGACTTTAGACAGAAGCGCTTGCCTTGGAACATGCTCTGTGTAACTGTTAAGCAGAGCTAGAGCATGTGTCCTGGCTGTCATGTGCAGCCTTTTGGACTTGGCTCTCTTTGAGGGGGCCCTCAGGAGTTCCTGCGGAACAGCAATACCTTCTGATAATTGCATCCGACTTGACATCTGGCTCATGACTGTATCTGCCCACCCTCCCTTTACCCCCCCCCCCCGCCCCATGCCACCAAATCATTCTTTTCTATCGGTCGGAGCTCGCAAGAAAACAACCACATGTGGTTTTCACTTTGTGACCAATTGTGACAATATCAGTGGCTGTGGAAATTCCCAGAAGCCTCCTGACAAACTCCCTAGTCAGTCACCGTTCCCTGACCCTTTACAGCCTTCCACAGCCACTGCCGGGATAGCAAGGGCAGGTGTCAGGTCTTACACACCGGTTCTGTGGGAACAGCTCCCGATCATGGTGGGAACCAATGACTGTCAGGCCCTGTGGGCTGCCAGAATCTACCCCATTGCTGTTTCCTGGGGGAGGCATTAGAAGAGGGAGCGGCAACACAGGTAGGACACGCTATTGCGTCACCTCCAGGATTCCAGGGTGCTGGCACGGAAGATTGTATAGAGGTGTTTTGGTTTGTTGTGCTGGACTAGAAAGAGAGGGAGGTCTGAGAGTGTGGAAGGAACCCGCAGACAGGGATGAGGTCAAAATATTTGAAAGCTTCACAGAGGCCCTTCCAGAAACTGGCCTTCATTGATGGTGCCTTGCTTCCTGTGAGCATCATGACTGGGATGGTGGTCCAGACCAAGTCAAACTGATCCATCTCTGGGTAGAGAGCTAGAACACTGATGAGTTTTCTGCCAGGAATTCCTGAAGAGTCTCTCAGAGGTGGGAAAGCTGAGGGCTCCTCTCCACAGACAGCAATCAGGGAATCTTGCTGAACAGAAGGAAGATCCCTGCTGGAACTGTGCTTGGCTAGATGAACCAACCCAGCAGGGAATTCCCTCGGGAACATCTGCAAACAATCCTTTCTCCATGTCCCTCCCCCGATTTCCACTGACTGCTAGGGCCAGGGAGTCCCCCACCTGTGCCCCTTCCCCTCTTCATCCACTGTCTCCTTTATCTTCACAGCACCTTCGTTGGGACAGAACATGACTGTGAACCCCGTTGCCTCCATGCCTACATTTGCTACCCTGCCTGTTCTCCCACCTGCGCCCCAACCAGCACCCCAGTTATTCTGGGAGCCCCCAGCCCCCCTCATGACTGTAGGCATCTCTCCCAGAAACCCTCTGGTGCTATCTGCCTTGCCTGGGATGTCTTTAGTGGCAGAAGATGGAAGCACTGCCCTGGGAACAGCTGTACCTCTGAACATTGTACAAGTTGGGACACCAGGCAGGCCTGTCCAGCCTGTGCACAATGCCAATGTTGTCCTCACTCAGGTGCCCCTCAACTGTAATGTCCCTGGGGCCCAGGGTGGGAGTGTGGGGCACCCTGCTTCACTCTTCCTGACAACACCTGCTGCAAACACCTTCATAAATACTCCAATTGCTTCGGCTGTCCAGTCTCAAGACGGAACGTGGGTCCTGGGCCCTCACCCTCCCACCACACAGCCAGTTGTCCAGCTGGTTTCCGTCAGGTCCCCAGTGAACTCAGCACCACCTCCAAAAGGAGCATATGGGCAGAGCGGCCCAGCCAATGTCCAATCCAACTCCCCAGAATACTTGTCCAAACCAGACAGTGTCTATGGGAACTTCCGGCGCTGGCAGCTTCTCAAGACTCTGGTGCAGCGGCACCTGTCACAGACTCCTGACGTGGCGGCTTTCTCCTGCTTCCTCATGTGAGTGTCACGGTGCCTGGAAGGTGCTACTGGGGTTCCAACTTGATGAGGTGGATGAGGAAGGTCCTGGAGGAGATAGGGCCACCCCAGAAAGCCACACAGTCAGCCCCAGGTCCAGGGTTTGGACTTAGACCTTTCACCCCACGTGATAGCCCTTCTCCTTAACTTTTATCTTCTATCATTGACCTCAGTGTTTAATGCCCACAGCACACCACAACTGGTATAAGGGAGAGAGGCAAACTCCAGAAAGACTTAGACATTTGTCCCCAGCCCATTGTTCTGGGGAAATTCCCTTTGGCCAGGAAGGTTCTCCACCTGTCCTGGGGAAATCTTTGGTCTCCTTGCTCCATTTTGATCCTCAGCAGTTCTCTGCATCACTGCTCCAGTCATTAACCCGGGGTTCCAGGTCATTCTGGGCATCTCGTCCATCAGCTCGGCAACATGACCAGGTAGACTAAATGAGTCAAACCACAGACACTGTATTTTCACAGTTCTGGACACTGTCTTCAGATAGGACCTTGAAGAGCCAGTTCTGATAAAGTGTCCATGGTTGTCTCACAGGACTAAAAGAAAATCGGGGGGGGGGGGGAGTGTCTCTTCTCCCTTCCCAGAAGAGCACTGTCCAATCCTGGGAGTCCCGCACCATAACCTAAACCTGGCTACCGCCACCCAAGGTCCTGTTTCTAATGATTTTCACTTTGACTTTGTTGCCTATACTTCCATGTTGGGAGCCTAAACCCCATTCACTTTTCCACACACAGAGAGTGCACGGGGCAGCCAGGGGAGCATACACAGAACTTTGTGTTGATGTTTGCCGCAGGGTTAGGCGTTCCTGGAAATGACCTTATAGTGCCATTAGGCTATAGATGTGTCTTGGGCTGGGGTTGGCGGGGTCTGGAGTGCAAGTCGATGCCTGGGTTGAGTTGTTCTAATGAATTACAGTCCAGTGCTTCGGTCCCTGGCCCGGAGGAAGCCCACCATGACTGTGGAGGAGGGCCTGTGGAGGGGTCTGCAGGAATGGCAGTGTACAAGCAACTATGACCGGATGATCTTCTTTGAGATGGCCGAAAAGTGAGTCAAGGGAGTCTTGAAGCAGGGTGTGTGGGGAGCTGGTAAACGTGGGTGGGTCTGTTGAGTCAGAAGTCTTGAGGAGGATATGTGGGGGGGAGGGTTACTGCTGGGTCTGGTGAGTTTGTTACCCATGCCTTGGCAGGAAGATTACCTAACACTTGGGCCCCTCATGGGAATCTTGCTGTTGAGGATGCTGTTCTCATGTCCTGGAGCGCTGGGCTATCTGCCTTATGGTCCCATCAATTCCAACATCATAAGTCTATCCCCGCCTTTCTTTTGAGGGTCAGAGTAGGAGAAGTGGCCCAGCCCAGCCCTGTGGGGTCTCCTCCAGCCCTGTGGGTTGCACAAAGCAAACACACTCCCCAGTCTTAGGCCAACTGCCTAGCATTGAGCCACTGCTTTTCAATAGCAGAGACCACTGCGTCTCAAGAGAGTGGCCTCAGCTGTAGCCTTATGTACCTGGGGTGGATATAAATGGAAGAAGGCAGAGAGGACAGAGGCCTCTTACACACTCTGAGGACAGTCTCTGGTCTTTCTGTCTCTGCTCCATGTGATGCTGTTGTGCACACAAGCCAACAAACAGCTCTCAGAGGGAAGCAGCCACACCTCTCGGCTTCCCTTCTACTTTCTGCTGACATCTCCTGGGCGCCTGCCTCCCAGGTCGCTCCCACTCTTCCAGTCTCAGCATCAGCATCTCTGGATCTGGTCCAGGATTCCTGATGTACCCCATCAGTCATATCCATGGCCCCCTTCCCAGTCAGCTTTCCTGTGTGGCTCTAGGCAAGGTCAGGAAAGGCCTTAAGGAGTCACCTGAAAGCCCTGCTTGGGCCATCTCAGACTGACTTGATTCCCTACAAATACCAAGGGCTATAGTGTGCCCTAGAGCTGTAGTTATGTTCCAAGACCAGCAACTTCATGGGATTGTACCAGACCATCCCAAGACCCTGCCCCTGTGTACATGACCACCTTTAGTAATCTCCTGTGCTGGGCCCTGGCCGCTTTCATCTCTAGGTTCTCAGAATTTGAGAGTGCAGAAGAGATGGAGAATGCAAGGCTGGAGATGGAGGCCTCAAGGCTGGAGATAATGAGAAGTGTCCAGTGTCAATTTCTTGCAACCACAGCAAGGCAAGATCCACCAAGGCCACCAGCTCCCGAGGTGGTTGAGGAACCAGGTAGGGTCACGTAGCTTTAGGTCTCTATGCAGAAGTCAGATCAGTCAAAATAGACTTTTGCTCCATTTGCTAGGTAACCTGGGGTCCCTTGCAGCCCTTAGTCTTGAATTGGGTAATCACTGAACTGGTCATGATCACTGCTCCTCTCGGCCCTCGTCTCCCTAAGGACCCAAACCCCGTGTGATCAGGACCTGGACACTGAGTATGAAGAGTACCTGAAACACTGGGGGCTCCAAATACTCTCCAATATGATAGTCCTAGACATATCACCCTTTACAACGTCCCCTCTCACAGATCTTTAGGGAAAACCGTGTTGGCTTGCCCTAGGCCATTGCAGTTCCACTGAGCTATGCTCTGCATGGCTTGCCTTGGGTGGAACTAAACCCCATCCATGGATCATCATGCTCTCCTATCTCCTAGTGTGCAACTCCACCAAGACTGTCCCCAAAGATGACCCGGCCCACCTCCCAGGACTCAGAGACGGGCAGTTACGCAAGACCAAGGCACCCGTAGAAATTCCACCTGAGGCAGTGCAAGAGTACATGGACATTATGGACTGGCTGGAGAGGCTCCCACAGCCGTTCACGAGAGAGCCCATGGAAAAGGAGGAGGAGGAGAGCAGTGGGCTGGAGCAGGAAGATGACTTGTACACAGACACAGGACTCCTGAACTACATTGACGAGCTGTGCTCCCAGAAACACTTTGTTGAGCAAGTGAGTTGCGTCTGGAGCCCTAATATGGGTTTCCCAGTCCTTGTAACTGAGCCTGCTTCCCTGCCTTCAGAGCTCTCTCTATGTCTGTCTGTGTCTCTCTCTGCCTCTGTCTCTGTCTGTCTGTCTCTCTCTCTCTCTCTGCCTCTGTCTCTGTCTGTCTGTCTCTCTCTCTCTCTCTGCCTCTCTCTCTCTCTTGTGTGTGTGGTGTGTGTGTGTGTGTGTGTGTGTGTGTGTGTGTGTGTGTGTGTGTGTAAATGTTGGCTGCATTACAACTTGGTAGCAACACAGGACAAGACAGAGGTCCCTTTGGCTTGGAGATGCCCTGCCTCCAGGCACTCAAGTCCTTTTCCTTCTGTTTATAGGTGGAGGCCATAATAAACCCCCAATTTGTGGCAGAAATCCTATCTTCCAAACCAGAGATGGACATACTGGCTCTCATGAAGGCGCTGGAGTACGAGGAAGAGGTCACTGTTAAGCAGGTAGACAGGGAAGGGTGAACACCAGGGACAAGGGGGAAGCAGCAAGAAGCAGGCAAGAGGCAAGCAGATACCAGGCAGGCAGGATATAGGGAGACACTAGGCACACTGGGCAGGGAAGGGAGGACCCCAAATAGAGTGGGATGCTGAGGGACACCAAGTGGACAGGGAAAGAGAGGACCCTGTTCATAAGAACCATGTGACCTTGACTCACCCTGACATAAAGGAAGTCAGGGCATCCCGCCTGGGTCTTCATCCAGAAGGGGATGCAGGTATGAACACGAGAGTAGGGGTGGGGTAAAGTGCACAGCTGCAAGGAACGTGGCATGACAGCCAGCAGACCCACAGTCCCCGACTCTCCCCTTGGCCACCTCCACCCAAATGCGCCACCCTCTAATCCTTCCAGTCTGGTCTGGGTCTCATGTGCCCATTTCCTCCTGCAGCTGCTGGAAACTTTGAAGAAGAAAGGCTGTAAGGCGCCACCTCTGAACCAAGATGCCTCTCAGATACTAGACAATGCTTCTGTACTGACTGTCAGCCAAGGTGCAGAGAGAGATGGCCATGGTCCCCAAAGAGGGGCCAGTGCACAAAAAGATTCCTCACAAATGGTTTTCTTAGACCAACAGTGTCCCGAAGACACCAATGCAAAAATATGGGGGCCTAGGCCTTCCGTCCTCCCAGATAGTCAATGTTTGACCTCACTGGTAGACATCAGATCCACCGTTACTGACTGTGGGAAAGAAGCCTACCCCCAGAGCCCAGGGTCCAGATGTGGAGTGAACCCCAGAGAAGTTCCTGCCACTGAGGAGCTCCATGAGTCCCTGGGCAGAACCACTGATGACAAGGAAGAGCTCCACAGTCTGTCCTTCCTCCTCTGCTCCCAGTACAACCTGGTGCCATGGAAACTGGCAAGTCACTTGTTCCCCTATGCAGATTTCTCTGACTCGGAGAGTATCCCCGAACCCTCATCTCCAAAGATAAGGGGTTTCAGTCCTGATCCATCTCTAATGGCCAAGTCAAAGAAGCGAGCTCTCCTTGGAGGCTTGACTCCCATGGCTAAGAGATCTGACCCAGGACCTGGTCATGGGGTGTGTGAAGGGCCACTCTCTGCCCTGGAGCTCGCTCAACCACTGCAGGCTCAGAAGAGGAAGCACGAGTCACTAGGCACCCGGAAGAGGAAGAGGAAGAAGCGGCACTGAGCCACCTGTGTGGTGCCTCCTCAAAACGGGCAGAGGTTTCACTCTGCCTCTACCCTGCAGCCCCGGACCTCCCCCCACCAAAAAGAAGCAATTGAAAAGAATCCAGCTCCTGCTCACTCAGGGCTAATCCAGCTGGTGCAAAGGGTAGCGCTGGAAGGTTAGAGGCGCTGGGCAATAAAGGCAGGGCTGAGGGGTGGGGCAAGGAGTGGGAGGGAATTATCACTTTAGAAGTTTGTAAGCTACGGTGAATAAAGGTAGTTTTGTTGAAAATGGTGTTAGGGCTGTGGCTGTGTCTTAGGGTTTCTACTGCTGTGAAAAGACACCATGACCGCAGCAGAATTAATTGGCTCGCCTGCAGTTCAAAGGTCCAATCCATTATCGTCATGGCGAAACATGGTGGCATGCAGGCAGACATGGTGCTGGAGAAGGAGTTGAGAGTTTTATATCTTGATCTGCAGACAACAGGAAGTGGACTGTCTCACTGGGTGTGGCCTGAGTGTATATATATATATATATATATATATATATATATATATATATATATATATATATGAGACCTCAAAGCCCACCTCCACAGCGACACACTTCCTCCAACAAGGCCACACCTCCGAATATGCCACTCCCTTTGGAGGCCATTTTCTTTCAACTCTCCACAGGCTGCTACTTTCATTCTGATGTCAGTGTTGCTCTGTGGAGCGAGGAGATCATGAGGGAAAACCTGGAGATGCCATGCTTGAGGGTGCATAGGGGCAGGCCCAGGACTTCCAGATTTATCCACTGATCCTAGGAGAATGCAGACTAACAGCCCCTGGGGTTCTCACTCCTCATAAAGTCTCTCTGCTGGTAAGGACTACGTAGAACATTTATTATTATCTGCGTGCTCAAAAGCCTTCCCAGCCTTCAGCCCTGTGGACCATTACTCAGTTTCTAGAATTAGCCTGTGATTGCATTTTTCTTTGGGAGTACTTTCTGCTCCCCTAAAGACATGGCTGGCAAGACTAATCTAGCCCTCAGCTAGCCAGGGCTTTCTTGAGTGGGTGGTTTTGGGGAAAGGCCTGACATTTGGAGGGGCCGATAGCCAGCTGGGGGCTGTTCAGCTGACACCTTTAGCCAGCTCCCATCTTACACGTCTGCAAATGCCATGCTCTCTGACGGGGCATTCCCTAAACAGGAGAAGCCTGCTCCTGTGGACTCTCTTTTGTAGATCCATTAATTTGTTTTCGTTATTGGGAATTGAACAGAAGGCCTCTGTACGCTAGGCAAGCATTACACTTCCAAACTATATCTCCAGATTCTTTTGCTTTTTAAGGCAGGGTCTTCCTAAGTTGTGCTAGCAGGCCTTGAATTCACTGCACTGAAATGCCACCACTACCTTGGGACTGAGATTACAGGCCTATGTCACCAAGCCAAGACTGTAGCTTCACATTCTAATCCCATTCAGGCTTATGTGCACCGGGAGGGATGGCAAGAGGCCCTTGTTCATGGGTGCCTGGCCAGGCTGCCCCATCAGCTAGCCTGGCTGTGTTCACACATAAGTCAACCCTTGGCTAGATCAGAAATGGGTCTCGGAGGAGGCTCATGTAGGAGAGGACTTGGTGTAGGCCTTGGGCTAGTTCATGGGGTTTTCTTAAGCTCCTTCAACCTGTATTGGCTCTGTGCCAAGACTCTGAGTCATTTTCTGAATCCTCAGCTGTGACATCACAGAAGATGCTTTTTGCACAAACCTGTGACCTTTGACATCATTTAATCATGAAATTAACTATTTACAGTGGTTAAGACAGCACTCATCAGTGGTTCATTTTTGAGTCTCATCCACCCTTCATGCTGAAGTCCTTCCTTGGTGTGTCTTTGGTCTTTATTTACCCCAACAGTCATGTTCTCTCTCACACATGTGTTTTAAAAGCACATGAGGACGAAATCTGTCACTTAACAACAGTGACATCTCCTAATAAGTATAAGAAGAGGAATGAATCAAGAAGAATTAGTTTCTCCTTTAGCTCATTGCTCCAACCCTGCATGCCAGTTCTTCATCATGTGCTGAAGGAGAACCCCAGAGTCAGAAAGCACACGAGTCAAGAGTCTTAGTCACCTTTCTATTCCCGTGATAAACACTGTGAACAATAGCAGCTTGGGGAGGAAAGGGTTTATTCCATATTACAGATTATATTTCATTATGCAGGGAAGTCAGGGCAGGAGCTCAAGAAAGGAAACTGGAGGCAGAAATCGAAGCACAGGCTTGAGAGGATGCTGCTCACTGCCTTGTCTTCATTGCTAGCTCAGCCTTCCTTTCATGTAAACCACCTTGCAGAGATGGCAATCAATCATTAATCAGGAAAATGTCCCCAGACTTGCCTACAGGCCAACTCGATGGAGGTATCTTCTCGGCAGAGGTTCCTCTTCCCAGATGACCCTGCCTTGCATCAGTTTGACAAAACACTAACCAGCACAGCGCGTTACACTGAGTGTGGTGCTGTCATTATGTGCTGGAACACCCCCCTTGTTTTCATTCTACTGCTCTGGCTGGGTACTGATGCTAGTTTTCTTGGATCTCTGAGTGCTGTCTCAGAATTCACTGTACGCTGGGCATCCACAAACTTCCTCCTTCAGTCTCTGTGAGTATCTCCAGAAAGCAGGCTTCTGGCATGTGGAGTCTTAGATATAAGACATTCTCTACTGGTTTCTCTAAAAGTGCAAAGCAGGGAGACCCAGTACATGTTGCTCTAGTGGTATTCAGAGAACGTACAGAGTATCAGAAAGCATTTATATTCTGCTGCATAGCGCAATATGTAAGCGTCAATATGTACAGTCATGAATGGGAAGAACATTCTAAGACTGTTTATAATTTGCAAACGTGGGAATTAAAGTGTATGCTTCTAAATAGTACATGAGTTAAAAGGTAAACTCAAGGAAAATGAAGAATTAGAACTGAATGACTGAGCCAGATAAATCATTGGTAACAGGGAAATAAGTGGTGGTTAATGTCTGCCTTAGAAAGAAAAAAATTAAAGTGTTCATGCAGTGAAATTAGAAAAGTACAAGATAAATGAGGAAACAGAACAAAGGAAATATAAGTAGAAGCAACAAATTTAAAGTTAAAAGATTAAATCAATAAAATAAAAAATTGATTTTAAGACAATCAGTAAAATACATAATCTGTTCATAAAGGTGGAACAGTAAATGAGGACGTCATTTAAACATGCTACCAGTCATGTAAAGAAGCCATAGCTACAGACCCTACATAACTGCCAGTTATGTAAAGAAGCCATAACTACAGATCTCATACTCATTAAAAACATAATAGGAGGAAATAGCACATTCATGCATATCATATTCATGTGCACATCCCAGCAGAACATTCATATTAAAAACTTCCATGCAGGGTTGGGGGATGGATGAGTTTAAAAAGTGCTCATATACACCTAATGAACTGGATGCCCAGAAGCCACGTGAAAATACCAGACACAGTGGAGCACAATTGTAACCCCACGGCTAGAGCAGCAGACACGGGGGACCTGTGCTGGATGACTACCTAGTCTGGCCTGTTTGCTGATTTCAGGCTAGTGAGAATCCCACCCCACTTCCTAAGGATGACACCCAAGCCCCCACTCCCCACCCCGACTACCACATGCACACTTTGGCACATTCATCCCCAATATCAATAAACAAATGTAATTGTCAAAATTAACTAAAATGGACAAAAGATAGAAACATAAAACTAAAATCTTTCGAAATAAAACCTTTGTAATTTAGAGTCACCATCAGCTTTGGTACCAGAAACATGACCTAGAGAATGAAAAACTGGACAACTGGACCTAACCAAAATTAGAAGCTCTGAAAGAAAAAAGTCTCTCTCTGAGGACAGTACAAGAGAGTGCATGTGAGTGCCATCCACAGAACTCCGACAGATTTTACCTCATTAGTGCTTGTGAATTATATAATGACAATACAGGCATTACACCAAAATGTTACGTTTCTTAATGTGCCTGAACCACCCATCAGATACTCAAATGAAATGAAACTTACAGAAGTACAAGTAGATGAACGCAGGTCTTAGCTGGAACCTCCCATACCCTACCCCTGACCAGAAAAGGAGAGAGACAGCAGACAGAAAATCATTAAAGTCAACAGCACCATCCTTCCTTCGATAGGACACCACAGTATCCTGCCAAATAAAATCCCAGGACCACATCTGAGTTAACTTGTGCTTTCTACACAGTACGGTGAGTTATGGCATTCCTTCAGAACCGGCATTTGTTATACCACAGATCCAACACTTCCAAAGACTCCTAGGAATTACATTTCACAAAAAGGAGGAAGAGGAGAAGGAGAAGCAGCAGCAGCAAGTATATTTATTGATCTCAGGAAACAAAAATTTACACTCAGTAATGCTTTAGTAAATGCCAATAAAATCATTGCCACTAGATGCAGGGGAAGTGGTCTTGGCATTGACAAACACACAGAACACCAATCTTTGCAAGCTGGGTAGAATCTGTGAACTGGGGAGCAGAACACGTGGTCCTGTCAGTTTATTAACAGTCAGGCTCAAAATGTCAACGACTAACTCGTTACAGAGACCAAGTGGACTGTTCTTTCTCATGTGAGTCAATACACAACCACTAGACTGCTACAAGTCACACGAAATATAGAAAGCTGAGCTGCAAACAGATACTACAGGTGTGCATACTTTAAATTCTGGCTAGACAGCATGGAGAATTCTTAACTCTGAGACCACAAATGCCATTTGGCAGGTTTTTATTAATAATCTTCTGTTTGGGTGAAAACGCCCAGAGGTTCCTGAGCCACATTACACAGGAACTGATTCCTGGCAGCCGATGAACATCGACGGTGGCCCACACACATTCCTGCTCCATGCATGCATTTTATGTATCCAGCACAGAAGAAACTCAAAGAGTCTTCAAACAGCTCCCACCAGGAGCTGTGAGGGTGCAGCTATCCCACCCAGCTCTCATGGGCAGCTGCAACTCGGCTTTCTGGCACTAGAATGCAGACACATGTGCCTGCTGTGCTGACTGAACATAGGAACAGATGCACCGTGGTGGTGCATACTTGTAATGCAGCAATGATGAAGCTGAACTAGGGTTATACATTTCTGAGCCACCTGGGCTCCTTTATGAGACCCGGTCTCAAACAGCAAGACGAACTAGAAGACCCAGTGTGTCCACACATCTTTATGGCACCCATTGTGCTGGGTTTTAGCAGCGTGTTTGTTAATATCTAACACTGTATGTTTGGATATTATCAGTTAGGAATAT